ATTTTTCATGACACTGCCAAATATCGAAAAATACTTTACTTTTAAGGAATTTATTTTCTCCGGAATTCACTTTTCCTGGAATTTACTTTTCAAAAAGAAACAACTTTCCTGCAAATAAACGGGGCCTTAATACTAGAAAACACATCAAAACATAATCTTGTAATATTATTTTAAATTTCCAAGTTTAAATTAAATTAAATTATTGAATTAAATTAAAAAATAATAGAGAGGGAGAGAGAGCTGTTTTTACACTCAAAATCTTTGCTGGTTGAACTGATTTTTTCTCTAGAAAAATTAAGCCCCGTAAAATAGTAAGAAAGGAAGGACAGAAAAATTGACAATGGGAAGAGTTTTTCATTCATTAAATGTTTGATATAATTTCTGATTTTGCTTTTGTATTTTTAGCTTGAAAAAATATTAATATTTTATATAATTTTAAAATATTGATGTTAAAAATAACCTTACACCGCAATTTCAAACAACTTCAAGATTAAAAACGCGTGTCGAATCCTTGCAGAAATTCTTTTATGACAAAAAGTTTATATTATTCACGGTTAAAGTTCTTAACAATTGTGCAGGTTTAGCTATCATTGGAAAATCTACGACGAAACTTCCATGAAAGGACTTAATTTTAGTTGGATCTCAAGGCACATGAAGTCCAAGTTGCTGAATTCCCGGAGAGATGCAGCCAGCTTCCAAGACAATGAGAAAGCCCTGCTTGAAGTCTCAAACAACGCAGCACCATTCGGCTACCATAAACTTGGCAGCAAAGGGATTTGGGGCCCAACATGTTTGCGCTAAGTGTATTAGGCTGAAAATGTAAAGTTGAAAGGGCGAATCTTGTTTCTTATCCATATCAAACCAAAGCCCAAGCGCCCAAGAGTTCTTTTCTTGGGCAGCCTGATATCCGATTGTCGACTGTGCCGAAGAAAATAGTCCATGGATTCCTGTCTTGCTTGAAAAATCTAATCCTTGAAAATAGTCCAAGAGTTCTTTTCTTGGGCAGCCTGATATCCCAAGATTGTTGTCTGTCCCAAAGGCTAGTCTCGTACAAAAGACCTCTCATATCTACCTGCCCTGATTCCCTGACCATGCAGTCCGTCGACAATCATCATAGGTTAGCATTTGGGGTCTGTGGATGAAAGGGACTAAAATGCCACCACATGAGGCCTTTAAGGGCCACTTTGTCATTGATTTTTTGTAAAACTTATCTTAGTCCCAGTTTTTATTTTTTAACGAATAGGTCCTCATTCTGCCCTCATATGTTAATGGAAAATACTTTTAATCTCTTAATCGAAAAAACATTCACGGTTTAGTCCTTGAACGTCAAATATTCAATTTAATTAATTATAGGTATACCTGGCCAAACTTTGTGTTGGTGTTCGAATGTGCTAGCATTATTGCTGACAACATTACAATAATGTCATGAACCTATATTGAGTGCAGGGATGGTAGCCACTTCAATTAAGTCTTTTTGGTGATTGTTAAAGATATGAGAATTGTACACTCTCGTATTTCAGATGACTGTGAGAGAAAAAATATTGCTAAGAGAGGATGGATCGATGACCCTCTCCGGAGTTAATACGTGAAGTTATAACTCCGGGCAGAGTTGTACGTGGGCAATGACCATGTTTCTCAACCAGGTGAAGTTTAGAATTGTTTGCTGGTTCAAGTTACGTGTACTTGACAAAATTGAAGGCTACTGCTTATTTTTATTTTTGATGTTGTAGTATTTATAATCAAGCAGGTGGAGTCAATAAATCTTCGAAGGGACTAAAAATTTGCTGGGGTGGCTCATTTTCTCTGGAGCAGTGGCCAAGTAAATGGAGTGGGGTTGGGGAATAGAGGGGTGGTCTCTCTAAGTTTTTATAAACTTAACCTCACAACTGTTTTCCCTCTATGTTCATCAGGTTTTTACTATTATAAATGGGTGAGCAGATGGGTGATTTTACGGTGTAAAAAACACAATAGTTTATAGATTTTCTTTGAGTGTGAGAGCAATGGTACAAGGGGTTCTGGAATTGGATTTTAGGTATAAAAATACAACTATATTCTTGCATTGATTCTCTCATAGTAAAGAAAGGTTCCTCCAAGATTTTGCTGAAGCTTATTATCCCATATTGAAAAAGAACAGAAAAGGAGGTGACTTGTGTATAAAATGGATCAACATCCCTTTAGTCCAATATTTTAAATTAAAGATGATCTTTATTTATGAATATAAAGTTGAAAAAGAACAAGAAAAGGAAGTGACTTGTGTATAAAATGGATCTACATCCCTTTAGTCCAATATTTTAAGTTAAAGATGATCTTTATTTATGAATATAAACCCGTGTACAAGATCATATACAACACAGGTGACTCCCTAGTGTTGAAATCCCCCTCAAACATGTTTTCTGCTTTCCAAATTAGAGTAAACAACTCAAAAAAAAGAATACAAGGATGAACTGGCTACGAAGGATAATCGATGAGTCGTGCTCACCGTTAATCAATGATGGTGACTGAAACATGGAAGTAGATCTCCAAGATTTTTTGATTTTTTTTTAATCAAGGATGTTTTAGAGGATTGATTACGTTTGACTTTCTTATGCATAAAATATGTGTTTATAGTCAAAATTCCTATTTCTTATTCATCCCTTTTTCCCATAAAAACATTTTTTTATATCAATAACTTGATTTTTCAAATAAAAAATTGAAGTAATTAAAATAAAAATTCATAAAAATCCCATTGATTTAAATTAATAATTTTTTTAATCAAAATTCCATTTTTTTAATCGTGCATTTCTCCTTCATTATGATATAAACATGTTTTTTTTTAAAAAAAACACTTATCATGATCTGAAAAAAAATCTAAATAAAAAAAACTTAATAATATCATAAAATGATTTAATCTTACTCCAAGACTATTACATAATCAAAATCTTTCTCTCTCATCTCTCAACCTCTAAGAAATTAAAATGCAAGGAAAATAAAATTTCATGACTAAAATATAAATAGTTAAATTATATGGACCGGATTAATGTAAAAATAAAACCTATGGACATCAAAGTGTACCACGAAGGATAAAAAAGCACCAGTACAACGCAATTCACACAATAGATGGATGCACAATAAAACGTCTATCTCTTTTAATTTATTCCTAACAAACCACTCAACTACCTCTTTTAATTTATCATTAACAATTTATTATTGCAATCTTAAATCCGACTAATAAAAAAATTGTTGTTCTGGAGGGTGTTTCACAATTCACCCTCTCTATCGACGTGCCGGAGAAAAAACAAAAACAAAAAGATAAAATTCTCAAAAAGCCTGATCCAGCTTGCCCGGGTCAGCCCAGGTATTTGGACATGCTCTCAGGTGTAGCCCAGCTGCGGGCCGGATCATTTTTTTTTTTTTTACATATTTTATGCATATATTAGTACAAATGCTTTTTACATTTTTCTATACATAATCTTAATCTCACAGACTCATAGATTATTTTCAACCTACACAGCCAATCAGATAAACCAATAAAATTTATTTATTATTAATTCATAACAAAATACTCAAACTGACTTTAGTATGAAGATTTTTTTTTTGGCATCCCGGAGATTCATTGAAGTTTTCTTCAAATTCTTCTCTAAGAAACGGATAAGGATGGCTTTAAACATAAATGATATATAATCGAGAATCTTGAAACCTAGATAGTTTAAGATCTGTGTAAAATTAGAAATCAAATAGATACGAATGCGCCAAAGATGTATAATTTCTAGCTGACAAGATTCCCTGTAGCTAACTAATGGCAATTCTTGTATACTGGAAAAGAAAATCAAACCCCCCCGCCCACCAGGAATTCCAGTAAACTCGTGTTTGTACTGTAGGAAAATCCGCCCGAGTGGTGCCTGCTGCGAGTCGTGGCTGGAGATCGTACACAAGACGAGCTGAGGTACATTTTGCGAAGTGATTGAAGACTTGGAGGTGTACCTTTCAAGGTAAATATACGCAGCACTCGAAGATCTGCGTTAAGATAATGACAATTCATTGCTTTTGGATAACGACGCCATTGGGGTTGTTAAAGCTTTAAACTTTCAAGTACGGGAAAATGGAAAACGACGCCACTGGGTTGTTACAGGTTACACCCATCTGCAGGTCAATTCTTAACCTTTCTGGCCTTGTAACAAAAATACTTAAGCAAATAGCTAGGCTTCGATCCAGGTTTGCCTTTTGATTTGCCTTGCATTTTTGTTTAAGATAAACATCCGACCGTTGAGCCGCCCCCCAGAGGCCAAGTTACATTTTTGACCAACAAAATGTTTATTTTTAGATTTTTATTTTATTTTTAAATATTAACATATTTAAAGGTAAAAAAGCAAACATTCCCGAAAGCTTCTATTAAGTGCCATTAATCGACGATTATTAAGGATAATGAACTATCTAGAAGGAAAAAAATAAAAAAAACATAAAATTAATAGGAAAGGCAACACGGTAATAGGTCAAATTAAAGAGTCAACTCGTTCATATCGTCTCCCCAGCCACAAATTTCCTTTTATTTCCCCTCATTTCTCTTTACCTCTCTCCGTGAAAAAGCGAGACGTTTTTCTGTTTATAAAAAAACTCCTATTTTTGAAGAGGAAGAACAACGACAGCATGGATTCCTTTGAATCAAACGAAAATCACCAAATCGCCGGCAACATCAACTCCCACTCAAACACCAACGATCACGGCTGGCAAAAAGTCACTTACGCCAAGCGCCAGCGAAAGCAGAAACCCGCTGCTCATTCCGCCGCCAATAATTCCAATGACAACAACGAACCAAACAATGTCTTCCGATCTCTCGAGCTTCAGTCTGAAGACCGCCGCCTTAAAATTATTGAATCTCAGAGAGTCGCCGCAAATGCCGTCGCTGTTGCTGATACTCGATCGAGATCGAAGCACCACCGATCTGATGGCGACGAAGGTGATGATTATGATAGCGATGATACTGGATTTCTCGAGGAGAATGCCAAGGCCGACGAGAAGAAAGTGAAACAGAAGAAACCTAAGAAACCTAAAGTGACTGTAACTGAAGCCGCCGCTAAAATTGATGCCGCCGATCTTGCTACCTTTCTTTCTGACATATCGGTAGGTGTATTATATATTTATTTCTGTAATTTTGAATGATGTGGTTGATTTTTGACATTTAGTTTTTTGGTTTTTGTAGGGGTCATATGAGGGGCAGCAAGAGATTCAGCTGATGCGATTTGCGGATTACTTTGGGAGGGCGTTTTCGGCAGTGAATTCGTCGCAGTTTCCTTGGGTTAAGATGTTCAGGGAGAATACTGTGGCCAGACTTGCCGATGTGAGTTCTAATTTAATTGTTTGTTTTGGTTTATCTAGAGATTTTATTTTAATTTCTGTCATAGGTTCAGCATAGCAAATTTCAAATCTTCAATTTGATTGAATTTAAGTTGTCGCGTATGCATTGTTTTTTCGTCTACCTGCACTGCATTGTCGTGATGTTAGTTTGAAGAGAACAATTCCATTTATTTGCAAACTTACAGCTTTTTTATGAAATTGATTTCATCATCATGTATGACTTGATGTACAATTATGTTTTTTTTATTATATTCACCGCTTGTCTCACATGCATTCTTTGGATTATCATGTCCTCTACATTGCTGATATTTTAGCCTGACATCTTAAGGACCTTTTTTTTTTTTTTCATTTTTCATGAAATAATTTTTGGCTGTTGTATGCTTCAACAGATTCCACTGTCTCATATTTCTGAAGCTGTTTATAAAACATCTGCTGACTGGATTAACCAACGCTCCATTGTAGCGCTTGGTTCATTTGTACTCTGGTCTTTAGACAGCATTCTTGCAGACTTGGCAAGCCAGCAAGGTGGTTCTAAAGGTTCTAAAAAGGGCGCTCAGCCAGCATCTTCGAAGTCTCAGGTAAGTTGCTGGAAACATTGCTGTGTTTTTTCTACACCATGTCTGGCACTTTCCTGCACATTGGTCTGATGCATGGCAATGTTGAGCTGTGGTTTTTCCTGATTTGCATGGATGTTTAGTGGTTCCCAACACTGAGGCTAATGTCCTCAGGTGCATGAATATAGAGTTTAATTTGTGTATATTAGAAAGTTTTCGGTTCAACCTGGAGATATATTAATATTTGGTGCTATCTTGATTAGAATAGTGTCATGTCTTTGATGCATTGAGCTTTTAAACATGCAGGGTGGTCAAAATGTTCTTGAAGCATATATTTTGACATAAAACAACATATGGTGCAGACACTTGTACATTTGTCATGTTATGGTCGAGGATTGAGTAGATGGAAATACATAAGAACTTTTGCATTTTGATTTTATCAATTAATTCATCTTTTCCTGTAAATGCAGGTAGTAATTTGTGTGTGCTTAACACAAAAGTATATATTCATTAGAAAGCAGCAAGTAACAGCAAGTAGACATGCAAAAATTGAAACCTTGACACATTGAATTAATTCACGTGGCATCTATGAGAACATAGTCTTTGAAGAGTAAGTGTGTGCCAGTGGATGGATCCCAACCTGCCCTGACCCCATCGTATTTACTACCAGTCCCAAACTCTTGCATATTACTCAATGACATGCATAGGCTTCAGGACTATGAACTCCTTAGCCCTACTGATCTCAACTCCCTAATGGAAATATATTGGGTTTATTATATTCTCATAGATAGCTTGGCCTCACCTCTGAGTGTTAAACCATGATGCGCAAGCCTCACATCTAGAGTCATTGGTCTTACATGAGCCTTGTGCTAACTTCATCCCTGGTTCATGATGCTTACAAATTCAACTTGTAGACATCAACCTATTTTTCAATTTGAGTTGCAATTAGTTTCTTTCTTTGAAGTGGCATATGTCCTTTCAGCATTCCATTACTGTTTTGATAATTAATGCACTTGAACTAGTATATTGAAATCCAAATACTTTAAACTCTTTTTTAAACCAAACATTGGTGAATGCGGGCCGTCATCTTGTGGGTGACCAATTCTGTTGTTCCATAACCACCATTTCTCCTGAAATAATATTGGAGGAGGTCAAATCTAGGTGTGAAAATCAAGAACTTAGATTGCTAAATTTTATGTGGGATTGTTTATTTTAGCTGTAAAGGTCAGGTTTGACTTTCCCCTCTGAGTTGCCATGCTAGAAACTTTAGGTATTCCATCAATGCTGCTGTCTGGAACATGCATATCAAAGCCATTTTGGTCTAATCAGGTTCCTTAGATGAAATTTTCATTAAGCGTCAGGAAAAGCTCTGTTTGGAGTGAGTAAGCCATGCAATTCCCTTTTTTATACATGGTACGTTGTTATCCTGTCAGTTGGGATGTTGAGTGCGTTCATCAATCATTTGATTTGTACAGTTTAGGTTTCTTTTTATAATGATAGGTTGCTTAAGGAAGTCCATATTTGGAATCATCTCACACAAAAATGTTTGGGAGGTGGTTTCTGTAAGAATTCAGGAGAGTGACTATCTGAAAAATGCATTTTGATACATCACATATAACTTCAGGTGTACTTCTTGGATGCCAAAAAATAGGTTTTGGAGTAAATAAATCCAGATTTTCTTCCATAATAGTCTGGCTTAGTCTGGCTTTTTTTCTTCCTCCTTGATGAGGCTTTGATGCACAGTGCTCTTGAGAGATTTGAGCACTTGCTGTATGATTTATTTAATGTAAACCGATCATGCTTTTTCTTTGTTCAAGCATCTATAAGCCAGCATGTTGTAGGTTGCTCCATTTTTTTTAATATTGATTATTAAAGTTTAGCTATGAGCTACGGCTAACAACTGGTGCTTTTGTTACTGAATTCTGGTTTCAGCAATCCAGAAGGCCTGATATGTTAACTTTTTTTTTTGCTTACTAATAACAAGGAACACTTACAGACCCCAGACACATTTGTGGCCTGTTTAATCTGGTACTTTTAATTTTGGGCATGGCTATCTGTTTAATGGAAGGGTACATTTACAAATTGTGAGCGCTCAGAATGTCTTGGCTAATGACGAACCCATGGTTGGTCTCAGGATCCATTTTCTAGTTTCTTCTCTGTAATAACTCTTTCCTTCTCTCCCTTCTATCTATTAACAATCGGATTAGTCCACTCCAGATGCTTCCTTTTACTCTCTGAATTACATCTTCTCTTTAATCTCTATACCTTGGTGGTAATAACTGTTCTTGCAAGCTGAGTTTTGTGTTTTTGTTTTTATCTAAATACTTTAACATGGATAGACTTGCTTGTGAAAACTTTTTACTTTGTCTAAGTGCTGATGTATAAATGAAATGACAGGTCGCAATGTTTGTAGTTCTGGCATTGGTATTGCGACGAAAACCTGATGCTTTGGTTAATGTACTGCCAACACTCAGGGAAGGTTCAAAGTATCAAGGACAGGACAAACTTGTGGTTATTGTATGGATGATAGCTCAGGTAACGGAACAGTTGTATGACTTCTGTAGTCTGCAAGATGGGCACCTGTATCCATTGTTTTGTTTACCTTAACTTTGCAAATTTTATTGTTTAGGCCTCTCATGGTGATTTGGCAGTAGGGTTGTACTCTTGGGCACATAACCTTCTGCCTATAATGAGTGGCAAAAGTTCTAATCCACAGTCCAGGGATATAATTTTGCAGCTAGTGGAGAAGTATGTACACTTTGTAATCTTCCATTCTTCTCCCCACCTCATGCACAGCGCACACAGCTCTCTTCCCTTTGCTTTGAACTTTAATTTTTTAAAAAAATTTGTTCGATTCGGTTGCAGAATTTTGTCTGCTCCAAAGGCTAGATCAATATTGGTAAGTGGTGCTGTTAGAAAGGGGGAGCGCTTGATGCCACCTTCTGCACTTGAAATACTGTTACGAGCTACCTTCCCTCCATCTTCAGCTAGAATAAAGGTAAGTATTTTGATCTGGGCATCTGTTGTATCGTTGCTCAGAGATATTATAGGTTCTGTCCTCTTAATTTCTTTTGTATGTGGTGTTCATGCAGGCTACTGAAAGATTTGCAGCAATCTATCCCTCCCTAAAGGAGGTGGCTCTTGCTGGCGCTTCTGGAAGCAAAGCAATGAAACAAGTATCACAGCAGATACTGAACTTTGCTTTAAAGGCAGCTGGAGAAAGTATGAGAGCTTGATTTGATTGCATTTTCAGTTACATAATCTTCTTGCCATCTAGGGAAAATGATCTTAAAGTTCAACATGTTATATATATACTGTCTTTAACAGGCATTCCAGAGTTATCTAAGGAAGCAGCTGGAATTTCCATCTGGTGTTTGACTGAAAATGCTGATTGTTACAAGCAATGGGTAAGTTCCCTTTTGTTTTGTTTTTTCCTTAATGAGTTTTATGTTCATAGATGCTGGCTATCCTTGTTTTGTCACCACCCATGTCTAATTTTGTCATGAACTGGAGAAACAGGATAAGGTTTACCAGGATAATCTAGAATCTAGTGTTGCTATTCTTAAAAGACTTACTGAGGAATGGAAGGAGCTTTCAGTGAAAATGACTCCTCTGGATCCTTTGAGGGAAACCATCAAGAACTTCAGACAGAAGGTAGTATCTTGCTCTTTTCTATTATTTGTTCTCTATTAGCATTTTCAAATTATTTTGGCGATTGTAATACAATTTCAATTTAAAAGCCGTTCCCGTCATGTTGTAACTGAATCCTTACCTATGAGAGTGCTGCTATTCATGGTATGCGAAGTCATTTTCCTAATTCTTGGTTTATGACTTTTGCATATAGAACGAGAAAGGAATGGAAACTGAGGCTGATGCTGCTCGCCAAGTACTCTTCAGGGATGCAGACAAGTACAGCAAGCTGCTATCAGGAAAATTATCACATGGCCATGGTTGCCTTAAAGGTATGGCCGTTGCTATTGTTGCATTGGCTGCTGGTGCTGCCTTCATGTCCTCAAACCTGGAATCCTGGGAATGGAAGGAACTGCCTGTATTTATTAGCTCTCAATTCTCTCTCTAAGGAGGATGCTGTATGATTATCAACCAACATTGGTGCAAAGCATCGATTTGTTTTTAGGATACCAGCTTTCCTCAATTTTGCACTCTTGATAATAGAGAAAGGGAAAAAATTTCGATGACATTTAGGATCCCTTTCTGGTGGTTCACATACAGCATGAGAACTTGGGCCGTTACAGTATCGAGAAAAGCACAATGGCTCTAGGGTGGGAGACCTTTTGAAGGGTCTCGTTCCCTTCAAATAAGTTCATCAAAACCAGTTTTATTTGATATTTTGACTTTTAGGTTTTGTGAACGAAATCATATTACATGTTGAGAATATTTGAAGTTCTCGAAAAGAATGAAGAACAAACAAAGTAAATAACCAATAGGAAGCATTTTGTCAGTCGCCTTAATGTATCTGGAAGAGATCCAATTACGTTTGCTGCTAGAACTTGGAGCTAGCGGGATAGCTTTGCATTGAACGATCCTCTGGTTGGAAAATGCTTTGCAGAGAAGAAACATACGGATTGCAAAGCTGATTTGTGGTGAGAGATCATTCTTTTGCTTCTTATGGCGTCAAATTTTATTGATGTTTGTACAATTTTTGACTGTCTTGTGATTTTTAATTTTCTTTTGACATATGACTCGTGCTTTTAACATGTCTTCCAAATTCACTTTCATCTGCTCCCACAAAGTTGGATGCAGTTGCCCTTATGGTACTTGTGCAATGGTGGCGAAATAGAACTAATAAATCTTCACAGCAACAATGCGCAATGGTTATTTCGGTTCTTCCATTTTCTTGCAATTCCCCAAAGGAGAGACGAAAACTGGCAGGACGGAGGAGAAAGTTTACTTCAACAACTGGAGTTCAAATGTTTGTATTAAGTTGTGCAAATAACAGATCTCTGTAACGTATATGGTACAAGCAAGCTTGCCAAGGGCCTAAAGTCGACAGTTTTCTGAGATTTTCAATCATGATCTTCATGCGTAGCCCAAGGATGCCGAAGATAATCGTTCTTTATTTTTTGAGGATCTTCAGGTTTTCACCATGGATACTTCAAGGATGCATCCCGGGGATTTCCTGAAGTTCAGAAATGGTGCCCATAGTCTTATCCTGCGCGTAGGCGAAAAGAGCCCCATGTGTCGAATTAACATTATTCTAGATGAAATGAAATTTAGATAATTGCCACACTGTACTAGCCTAATACAGAAAATTATAACTAATCCTGGAAAGAAAATGATGATGCACACGAATTGCAAATACATGATCTCCAAGGGCTTTCTCCTGTACATCTTTATCCTAACCCAATTCAAGATGATAGGTTGCCATATATCTACCATAAAAAACAATAACATTAATATCATTCAGCACCAAGCAGGAAAATTAGAATATGAGAATTAATAATTTAATTCCCAGGAAAAAAAGAAAGAATATAAGATCGATCAAGGGAAAGCATGGAAATGGAGGGATTCACTCGCTGGCATCAAACAAAGTACTAAGAGGTTACAATAGCCAATTGTATAAAAACCCACGTCAAATCTTCAGGGATTATTCACTCCAGTAAGAGTAAATGCTGGCTGTTCAACCTGGTGGAATTATTCTCATGGAAACCAACCTCGCGAAATATAAATGGGGTTTTCTTCACCAAAAAAAAAAAGGAAGGAAAAGGTTAAATATAGAGAATTAAAAAAGGAAGTTTTATTTTTCAATTTGTAAGGCTTTTTAAAAAAAAATAATGTTTTTTTAAATTGAATTTGTTTTTGTTTTTATTCAAATTAATAATTTTATAATGTTTTCAAATCATTCTACTGTTCTGATATAAAAATAATTATTTTAAAATAAAAAATATTATTTTAATATATTTATAAAAAAATAATTTAAAAAATAATCATTATCACTGACAAAAACTATGATCCGCGATTAAATACTGGGGTGGGGGAGAATGATTCGACAATATATCGAGGGCCCTTGAAACTTTCGTGAGCTGGGCACCCTGACTGTGTTTAGGTGGTGTTTGTAAGTATATTTTTTTTTAAATATTTTTTTATTTAAAAATATATTAAAATAATATTTTTTATTTTAAAAAAATATTTTTAATATCAGTACATTAAAATAATTTAAAAATATTAATTTAAAATAAATAAATAAAATATTTTAAAAAAAACATTAAGAATAAAGGGATAATAAAATGCTTCATAGACCCATGGTTTGAATGCCATGCAACTAAAAAAGAAGCAATTTGAATTTTGATCAAAAGAGGGGAAAAAGAACAAAAGAGACAAGAACATCATTGTATGGTCCAGTGGGCTGGTGCCCATCCTGTCTTTAGCTTTTGGGCCAGTTATGGACTTCTAGCTGGGCTATCATCTGCTGCAATTACACTGACATCCCATACCATAGCACAAAAAAGAATTAAACCGAAATATTTATTTTAGTCAATCTATTTAATTTAATGTTTTGATATAATTTGATCGTTTGTTGATAATTTATTTTTATATAATTTATTTATTGTGTTATTAGTGTTTAAAAAATAAGTACATACTAAATAGCTTGATATAAAAATTTAAAACATTTTTTTAAATTTTGTTGTTGCCTCAATTTTTCTACGTTTTGGAAGAAAATATAGTCTTGAGATTGCAAGTAACATATCATCTTAGAACATGTAAAATTTATACGAATTTTAAATTTATTGATTTATCAATATATAACAGTGCTTAGCATCTCAATGTTTTTTTCAATCTCGTATATAATTAAATGTGATGCTATGGAATATTAAAAATTATCTCATGCGCGATTTGGCTGGAATTTTGCATTCCATACTTGTAATGAGAATAATAAACAAAGAGAGAGAGAGATTCTCTTGCAAAACATTATTAATTATAACAATAGTTTTTTTTTTTCAAAAGTTTTTTTTAAAACAATTTATTTTTAAAAAAAATATATTTCACCATTTAACTAAAAAAGAGAAGGGGTATTGCTCACGTTACATTTTCATATTTGTTTTTTTCATTTATGATTTTTTTTAATTTTAATTTTATTTTTTAATATTGAATCTACCAAGAACTAAATTTCATAATTTTTTAAATTATTTTAAACTAATGATTTATAACATAAGTTTGACCAACTAACTTGATTAACTTGATTTTTTAATTGATATGTTGTTTGACCGACTAACTTGACTAACTTGATTTTTTAATTGATATTTTTTCTTATATTTTCATAATTCAATATTAAATTGATTTAAAATTATACTTCAAGGTTTATTATAATTTGCTTTCTATGAAGTTATTTACGTTTCACGACTCAGGTTATGAGTTTAGCAGATTAATCTCAGGTTATATTTGCATGTCTTTTTAATTATTTTTTAATTTTATATTTTAATATTATGTTGATTGATAATTAAGTTTCATAATTTATTTTATTTTAATTTTTTTTGTATTATCTTAATATCATGACTTGAGTTACACGGGTTTGTTAAATAAACTAAAGTTAACTTGAGTTTTTTTTATTTTTTTTATTTAATTTTTTCATTCAATATTGAGTTAATTTAGAAGTATAATTTATAATTTATTTTTGTTTATTTTCTATGAAGTTTTTTTATCTCATTAGTTTTGCAGCGAATTTGATGAATTAACTTAAATTAACTCGAGTTTTTTTTTTATTTTATCTATCAGCATTGAATTGATTGTAAATTAAACTTTATAATTTATTTTAATATATTTTTATAAAGCTGTCATAGTCTTACAATCTAAGACATAAGTTTATCAGATTAACCTAGGTTAATTTATGTTGTCTTTCTTATTATTTTTTAAAAAACTAACCGATTAATATTAAGTTATTGAAAATTAAATTTTATAATTTAGTTATTGACTATCTATATGATTATTATACCCTTATAACCTAATATACAAACTAAAAAATTAATTTAAGTTAACTCAAATCGATCTAAAATATTATCATAATTTATTTTTGAGTCAAATTATATTTTTTATTGGTTATTAATGTTTTTTTTTTAATTCTTTAAGTTGATCAAATTACAGTAAATTAATTTTTATATAATTTTAAAATTTTTTATATTAAAAAAATATTAATGATATTTAAATATTTTTTTGTGTTAATTTTTTTAATAGAATTCAAAACAGCGCATGAAAATGAGCTCATGGATAGGAATTTATTTATTGTTCATACAGAGTGATAAACACGACAAAGATTTAGCCACGAGCAACACTTTGAGTTTTTCTTTTATCTGTTTGCCACTCTATAGTGCCATGGGACAATTTTTTTCTTTCCTTTTATCTAGAACAACTTCTTAATCTAAAACATCCGATATCCACAATTAAATACATAAACAATCCCAAAAATTTTGAGAAGAAAAAGGATAAACCCCCCAAGATTCTCCTCCTTCTCTCAAGATTGACTCGAGAAACCCTAAATCCAGTAAATAATAGACACCATAAACCCTTTGACCTCTGCCAAAACTATCATCTCTCTCTGTTTTTCTTTACTCTTTTACAGTTTTAGATAGAAGGAAATGATGGCTTTAACAATCCCAACTCACTCCAGTCTCAACCTCCCTTCTCTCCAATACACTCCCTGCAATACCTTCTTGCATGTCATTAGACCCACAAGAAGAAAACCATTAGCCTCTTCCCATTTTCATATTAACAATAAAAACTCCAACTTCAACTCCAAATTATGCTCCAAAAGCGCAGTGCTTACCAGGGCCAGTGCTGATGGCGGTGGAAGTGGTGCCATTGATGCCAGTCCACAACAAAAGGCTAGTCTTTAATTCCTACACTGCTAGCTGTTTTCCAAGTTTGGTTCTTGCTGTCTACTTGTTGCCAATGTAACATGTATATATGATTGAAAATGATTTTCCAAGCAATGGTTTCTTGATTTTGATTCATGTTGTGGTGATATGTTGATGGTGCCTCTTTATGGGTTTTCTTCCTTACGATGAATGATGGCAGTATCTTTGAGTTCTGGCCTAGAATTTTTAAGTTTCTATTTGTTTTTTTTATTATTATTTCTATTTTTTTTTCATTTTGATTCTCTCAGATTTGTGTAATCATGGAGCCAAGGGGAAAAAATAGGGAGCCCATATCAGTATTGTTTTCCGATAAAGTGCTGGCCATTTACCTATTCCTTTCACCGGCTAAAGTTTTTTGAAGAAGCTAAATTTGGTTCTTGTATTTTTTTTTTAGAATCAGTAATTCTTATATTATGTTTTTATTGTATTTTCTTAAGGAAACTTGTGGTCTGGATTGAAAACGTGATAAATTACTACCTAGCTATACTAATTCAGGGTTCCTTATTAATGCAATATATGTTGTTGTCGACGGCAAAAGTTCCTCTTTCTATGCTTAATACTGATGCATCATTTCTCTAATTTCAGAATATTGAGGACTCAAAATGTAGCTCATCTAGTTTCGGTGATAACTATGTGGCCTTGTTTGTTCGGATGCTTGGGCTAGATAACGATCTTCTCGATAGAGAACAAGCAATAGTGGCACTGTGGCAATATTCACTTGGAGGAAAGAAGTGCATTGATAACATCATGCAGTTTCAGGGATGCATCAATCTCATTGTAAACCTTCTTCAGTCGGAGTTGAGCTCTGCATGCGAAGCATCTGCTGGCCTCCTACGATCAATATCTTCAGTCAATGTATACAGAGATGTAGTAGCAGAAAGTGGAGCGATTGAAGAGATAACTCGTTTGCTCAGTCAACCTTCTTTGACTCCTCAGGTATAGAAAATTATTTCATCAAATGAAATTCTCTTCTTACCTTTTGGTGTTGAAAATTGGTTCATTGAAGTAAAGTGTAAACATGTTTCAGGTGATGGAGCAAAGTATATGCATTCTTTGGAACTTGTCTGTGGATGAGAAGCTCAGAGTGAAAATTGCTAACCCTGATGTCCTACCTTTACTGATTAAGTCCCTG